CTCTGGCTTGGGCAATGCAAAGGCATTCTATGTAACCAAAATGTACTCCCATAATATTCTGAAATTAAAAAAAAGAAGAGAAATAAATAAATTGGAAAAAAAAGTCTTTCAGTTACATGTGACAGGAAACCAACACCAACTGGCTTAAGCAAAATAGGGAATTTATCAAGCCATTGTGTTAGTTATCTGTTGCTGTGTAACAAATTACCCCAAAACTTAGCAGCTTAAAACAATAAGCATTTATTATCTCACAGTTTCCATGGATTAGGAGCCTAGGCACAGCTTGGCTGGGTGGCTCTGGCTTAGGGGACTCACATAGCTACAGTCCAGGTGTCAGCCAGGGTTGCCGTCATCTCAAGGCTCTGCTGAGGGGATCCACCTCTCATGTGGCTCTGGGCAGGCCTCATCTCCTCATCGACTGTTGGCCAAAGGAATCAGTTGCTCGCTGGGTGTCAGCTGGGGGCCTCCCTCAGTTCTTTACCTTGGGACCCTCTCCATAAGGTGGATCACAACATAAAGCCTGGTTGCCCTCAAAGTGAGCTAGGAGAGAAAGAGAGAGAGAGAAAGAGAGACTAAGATGGAAGTCACAGCCCTTTTGTTACCTAATCTCAGGAGTGACATCTCATCACCTCTGCCACGTGCTGTTCACTAGAAGCAAGTTGCTAAATCCAGCCCACACTCCAGAAGAGGTGATTACACAAGGGCATGAATGCCAAGGGGTAGAGATCTTTAGTAGTCATCTTTAGGGGCCAAGTTTAGAACCCAAGTCCCTTGATGCTAAAGCAAGTACTGCTCAACATTGGTTGCAAATGAAGGCCTAGATAGATGCAGGACCTCTCCTGCAGTCTGAGCAGGTGGGAGGAGTCTGTGGTGCTGGGTAGACAAGCCTCCCTGCCACACACACGCGCACAGACACGGAAGCTGTGGTAAGTGCATCCTCCTTCAGCGTGAAATTTAAAAATAGACCATCATGGTGGGCCCAAAGAGTCACTCAGATGACTGGGCTCTGGGGCCTTTCTCCAATAAACCACAGAAGAGTCAGCCTCAAATTTTCTCTTCCATTCTCTGGACCTGTCTCCTCTTCCTGCTCATGGGTAAGTCCACATTATGGCCACTGCTCACTTACTGGTGTTCCTCTGAGGCTGGTCGCGTTGCCTGCCAGGGGGATTCCTGTTGGTAAAATCAGGAAACTCCTCTCTTGCGGTAATTACTGTGCAGGCTTCACTTTATTCTGAGCTCCGTATGTGTGTGTGAGTGTGTGCGTATTCACGCACCGTGAGGGGGTGACATCCCAGCCAGTCTCAAATAACTCAGGCTACATTCCTCTCACCCTCGCACTTTCCTGCTAAGAAATGGCAAATACGTAAAGAGTTTCTTCCCTTTGTAATGTGAACAAAATCCACAGACAGACCCAGAAAAATTCCCCTGATGACAAGCCACCTAGCAATCTCCTAGGCAGGGAAAGAAGTGCTGGAGCTTCTTTTCACACCCTGCCCTGGTGGTCACATATTCTGGCTTCACTGCTGAGGCTTCACTGGGCACCTCGAGGTGGTCAGGTGGCCCTGCACAAGGTGGCCTCAATCTGAATGTCCTTTTCTCCCCAGCATTCTTCCCCGCAGGACCAACTCCTGCTAGTTTCTGGGAAACATCTCTCAGCTGCATGGCCCAGACTCTCACTGTCCAGTAGGCAGAGCCGACCCAGTCCCCCAGGGGGATCTCAGCCTCCTAGGACAGTGGCAGCTATTGTTCCTCTGTGATCCCACTTTCCCCAAGGCCTCAGGGAGGATGGAACAGGTAGCTCTAGGGACCTGAGAGCAGTGAGGGTTGGAGGTGGTATGTGAGGGGAGTTCTAGAAAAACCCCAAGATGCAGGTATGGGTGGACAGGGAGCCTAGACCTCAGGGCTCAGATCCAGTCTGACCTCTCTTCACTTTCAGTTTCATCTCGCTCGCCATGAAAACACAGAAAGCAGCAGGGCTATTTACATCTACATCCAACCCCTGTGGTGTTACTTGGTTGTGTTGTATGAACCTGAAATTAGCAACATCCAAGATCATCTAAGTCTCAAACCATCAATGCAATGAATTTCAAACAGTTCAGGGCAAAGAGGCACCAATTTCTTTATTTTTTGGAGACAGGGTCTCACTATGTTGTCCAGGCTGGACTTGAACTCCTGGGTTCAAGGGATCATCTTGCTTCACAGCCTCCTGAGTAGCTGGGGCTACAGGAGCACACCACCATGCATTGTGCCAGCTCTGAGCCTCTATTTCTTAGGTGTGGAATGCAATTAGTAAGATATATCATGCAAGACTCTTCTATAGATTAGAGATGATATGTGTAAAATGCTTGGCACATAGTTGGTAGAGCAATGATTGTCACAATAATTACTGTTATGTGCATTCTTTAGAAACTATTCAGAGATGGGTGAGTCAAATTCAGTTATTACAATGTTTGAACTCTCTTTTATTTTTTGTCAAATGGTGCAGTTTGAAATAAGATGGCTGGTACTGGGGAACCTGTCGCTGTACTAGAAGCTACATAGCACTGTTTTCAGCAACAGAATTTGACCCATGGGGCCCACATCCTGCTTCCTCCCCTGATAGTCCGTGAGGCTTTGTTTATCTCTGATGTGAGGAAATATGAAGTCAAAACAGGTCGTATGTACCCAGCCAAGACCCAGCATCTGGGCTTCCAGGACAGAGTGATCAGTACTCCTGGACTCTACTCCAGGGGCAACATGTACATAGAATCTGCCACTGATTAGCCCTGTAATCTCAGGCAAGTGACTTAAACTCTCTAAATTTCAGCTCGTCATTTGTAAAAAGGTGATCATTATAGGCTAATTTTGAGAATTAAGTGATTTACATAGATGCCGAATATGCACATAGCAATCATAAACAGTCTTCCAGATGGGAAGAGTTCTCTTATAGGCAACCTCAAACCAGCCTCACATCAACTCAGCTTCCACTTTCTCAATCTGCCTACAGAATCCATCTGAACCAACCTGCCAGGGTCCCTAGCTCTGTGTCCTCCCTAGCTGCCTTTCCACAGGGTCCAAGTGCTCAGCTGATGTGGGTCTGGGCAGAGAACACCCATGACCTGAACAGATCAGGGTCTCTCTTCTCTGTGCCTATATATATGTAACCTCTGGATTTTCTGAGCTCATCTCTGACTTCTCCCCCCTCTCCAGGCTGTACTTATGCCTCTACTTTCTCTCTCTCTCTCGCTCTCTCTCCCTCTCTCTCTCTCTCTCTCTCTATCTCTCTCTCTCTAACACTTTCTACTTATTTTCCCATCCAGAATTCCTGGAGTAGTCTGGGTTCTGAACCCATTTGATTTGGTCTAGAACTTCCAGACTACTCTCCAAAGCCTCAGAAGCCCTGGAATCTGGGGACCCAGGCTGGGGTCACCCAGCAGACACTCACAGGGTCCCAGTAAGAAAATTAGCTGCCTTGGCCAAATGCCAGCCTCCTGGAAGCCTTGGTAACAATGTTTATCAGGAATATGAGTTTTGTGTAAGATGAGGAAATCAGGAGCTGAATCAATGTGTCCAATTATTCCCAAATCCAAACCTGGCCAAGCCAGAGTCAGCCTGAGAGCCCCTGGAAAATCAGGGGGAAGGTAGAGTCAGATAGAATTAGGAGAGGCTCCTTTTGTTCCCAATGCTGTTATGAAAATTCTCAAACATTCAGAAAGGAATTGGAGCATTTCACAGCAAACACTCGTATGCCTACCATCTAGGTTCTACCATTCATGTTTTACGTACTTGCGTTATCACTCGCCTATCCATCCATCCATTCCTCTAGCCAACCATCTATTCATCTTATTTTTTAAAACATGCTCCTTTTTACTAGCTCTTTACGATTTGTAGCAATCTGCTTTCATTTACTTTTTACTATATCCCATGAAGAAGATGGATGGTGCAGGTGAGAGCATTTCAATCTTCTAGATAAGTATACTGATTCTCAGAAAAATTCAGAAATTTACCCAAAGTCACAAGGCTAATTCCCCTGTTCGAACAGAAACCTAGAAGGTCTGTTTTACTGGTTGTTGTTGCTACTTTTATGGAGGAGAGTGGTGAAGGAATGAATGAATGAATGAATGAATTACTTTACTATGCAATGGGCCAAGAAGAAGGAGGGAAGGAACCTCATTTCATTGCTCAGCATCTGGCATTTATGCACAATGCATGTTTACTGAGTGAGTGAATGAATGAAGGCTAGCCTGAGGAGTCTACCTCCTCCTCCAAGTCCCTCTTCTCTTTCTGCAGGACTAAGCGCCTCTGGAAAGGACTCAGCCCCAACGGTGGTATTAGGAATCATAGGGGGTTCCATGACTCTCTCCCTAAACATCTCAGGAGACACAGAGATTGAGCACGTCACCTGGAATGGTCCTACAAACACTCTTATTATGGCATATCCCAAAGGAAAGATAACCTTCGTGGACAAAAGCTACCAGGGTCGACTAAATACCAGCTGGAATTACTCCCTGTGCATCAGCAACTTGACCCTGAAAGATGCAGGAACTTACAAAGCCCAGATAAACCAAAAGAATTCTCAAGTTACCACTGAGGAGAAATTCACCCTGCACATCTATGGTGAGTTCCAGAGAACTTGTATGAGTTTTGATCTTTTTTTTTTTTTTTGTACCAAATGAGGTACATGTGAAATTTTCTTACATGTATATAATGCATGGTGATCAAGGCAGGGTATTTAGAATGTCCATCACCCAAATACGATACATTTTTATTAAGTGTAGTCACCCTACTCTGATATCAAACATTGGATTTATTCCTCCTATCTTACTGTATGTTTGTATCCTTTAACCCGCTTCTCTTCATTCTCCGTCCTCCCCGCCACCACTCATCCTTCCCAGTCTCTGTTATCTATCTGTCCACTCTCTACCTCCATGTGATCAAATTTTTTAGCACCCACATGTGAGTGAGGACACACAATATATATCTTTTTGTGCCTGACTTATTGCACTTAAGATAATGGCCTCCAATTCCATCTACCTTGCTGCAAATGACATGATTTCATTCTTTTTATGGTTGGATAGTATTTCACTGTGTATGTACGCCACATTTTCTTTCTCCATTCATCTGTTGATGAACACTTAGGTTGATTCCACGTCTTTGCTATTGTGAATAGTGCCGCAATAAACAGATGAGTGTAGGCATTTCTTTGATGTATCGATTTCTCTTCCTTTGGGTAGATCCTCAGTAGTGGGATTGCTGGATTGAATGGTAATTCTGTTTTTAGTTTTTTGGGAAATCTCCACACTTTTTTCCATAACGGTTGTACTAGTTTACATTCTCACCAACAGTGTGTAAGAGCTTTCTTCTCTCTGCATCCTCACCAACATCTGTTGGTTTTTGTCTTTTTTTTTTTAACCACACTTTTTTTTATTTCTGCATATTATGGGGGTACAAATGTTTGAGTTACATTGCCCTTGCACCCCTCGAGTCAGAGCTTCAAGCGTGTCCATCCCCCAGATGGTGCGCATCGCACTCATTATGTTTGTATATACCCAACCCCTCCTCCCCACTCCCATCTGTCTGACACTCAATAAATGTTATTCCTATATGTGCACTTAGGTGTTGATCAATGAAACCAATTTGCTGGTGAGTGCATGTGGTGCTTATTTTTCCATTCTTGGGATACTTCATCTAGCAGAATGGGTTCTAGCTCTATCCAGGAAAATACAAGAGGTGCTATATCACCATTGTTTCCTATAGCTGAATAGTACTCCATGGTATACATATACCACATTTTATTAATCCACTCATGTATTGATGGGCACTTGGTTTTTGTCTTTTTAATATTGATAATAGCCATCCTGAGGTAAGATAATATCTCATTGTAGTTTTGATTTGCATTTCTCTAATGATTAGTGATGTTGAGCATTTTTTCATATATCTGTTGGCCATTTGTATGTCCTCTTTTGTGAAATGTTTATTAATGTCCTTTGCCCATTTTTTAATAGGATTATTTGGGTTTTTTCCTGTTGAATTATCTGAGATCCTTGTATACTCTGAATATTAGTCCTCTGTCAGATAAGTAGTTTGCAAATATTTTTTCCCATTCAATAGGTTGTCTTTTCACTTGGTTGATTATTTCTTTTGCTATACAGAAACTTTTTAGTTTAATTAAGTCCCATTTGTCTATTTTTTGTTGTTGTTGCCTGTGCTTTTGAAATCTTAGTTATAAATATAAATTCTTTGCCTATATTAACATCCAAGATAGTTTGTCCTAGGTTCTCTTCTAGTATTTTTATAGTTTTGGATCTCACATTTGATTCATTTTGAGTTGACTTTTGTATATGGTGAGAGATAGAGGTTGTTTCATTCTTCTGCTTGTGTCTATACAATTTTCCCAGCACCATTTATTGAAGAGGGTGTCCTTTCCCCAATGTAAGTTCTGGTCAATATTGTTGAAGAACAGTTGGCTGTAAATATGGGGCTTTATTTCTGGGTTTTCTATTCTGTTCCTTTTGTCTATGTGTCTATTTTTATACCAATGCAATGCTGTTTTGGTTACTAGAGCCTTGTAATATATTTTGAAGTCAGGTAACGTTATGCTTCAAGCTTTGTTCTTTTTGCTCAGGATTGGCTTTGGCTATTCAGGCTCTTTTCTGGTTCCATAAAAATTTTAGGATTGTTTTTTTCTAATTCTATAAAGAATGATGTTGATATTTTGATAGGGATTGCATTGAATCTGTAGGTTGCTTTGGGCAATAGGGTCATTTTAATGATATTGATTCTTCCAATCAATGAGCATGGGATGTTTTTTCATTCGTTTGTGTCATCTTCAATTTCTATCATTAGTGTTTTATAGTTTTTCTTGTAGAGATCTTTCACCTCATTGGTTAAATTTATTCCTAGATATTTTAATTTCTTTGTAGATACTGTAAATAGGATTGCCTTCTTGATTTCTTTCTCAGCTACATCATTCTGGTGTATAGAAACACTACTAATTTTTGTACATTGATTTTGTATCCTGCAACTTTACTGAATTCATTTATCAAATGTAAGAGTTTTTGGTGGAGTTTTTAGGTTTTTCTAGATATAAGAGCATATCATCAACAAATAGGGACAATTTGATTTTCCTCTTTCCTAATTTGGATGCCTTTGATTTCTTTCTCTTGCCATATTTTCTCTTGCTGTTGTTAGGATTCACTCTTTATCTTTGACTTTAGACAGTCTGGCTATAATGTGCTATGCAGATCTTTTTATATTACATTGAGCCTCCTCTACCCGGATGTCTAAATCTCTTTCTAGACCTGGGAGGTTTCCATCTATTATTTTATTAAATATTTTTTTAACCCTTTCTTTGTCTCTTCACCTTCGAGGATACTGATAATTCAAATATTCAGTCACTTTATGTTGTCCCAAATGTCATGAAATGTATTTTGTATTTCCTAGAATGAATTCTTCAGTTCCAGAATTTCCATTGCTTCTTTTAAAAATATCTATCTCTGTGGTCAATTTCCCAGTCATGCCCTGAATTATTTTTCTGATTTCTTTGTATTGTTTTTCAGAATTCTCTTGTATATCATTGCTCTTCTTTAAAATCAATCTTGTGAATTATTTATCTGGGATTTTGAAATTTTCTTTTTGATTAAGATCTACTGCTAGGGAATTATTATGTTCCTTTGGAGGTATCTTATTTCCTTGCTTTTTCATGTTTCCAGTGTCCTCACATTGATATCTGGTGTAACAGTCACTTCTTTCTATTTTTGAATCTACTTTCATAGGGGAAGACTTTTTCCTGAAGATGTATCCATGATCTTGGTTGGGTAGCGCACTTTGGCTTTGACTCTGGAAGCCTACAATAGTGTAGTCTCTGTATGATTTCTTTGGCTGTAAAAAGAGTTAGTTACTTCCTTCTGATGTCTTTCTCCTTGGCTTGCAGATGGCCACCTTCTCACTTTGTCCTCATGTGATTGTTCCTCTGTCCATGTTGTCTGTGCTCTAATCTCCCCTTCTTATGAGGATACGTCATATTGGATTCGGGCCCATCCTAATGACCTTGTTTTAGCTTAATTATCTCTCCAAATACAGTCCTATCTCCAAATACAGTCACATTGTGAAGTACTGGAGGTTAGGACTTTGCAGGGATACAGTTCAGCCCATAACACCATTTTTCTATCAGGCAGTTTTACCTTTTTCATTGATTTGTAGGGTACTCTGTATATATTAAGGAAATGGAATTCTATGCAGCTAATAGAATTAGAACGAATCAACTCAATATGTATTGACATAAAACAATTTCCAAGATATATTATTAAATTTTTGAAAAGGTTCAAGACAGTATGTAAAGTATGCTCTAATATATCTGGATATACCTAGAATATCTCTGGAAAGATCAACCAGAATTTCTTAACAGTAATTGCCTCTAGGAACTGTAAATGTTGGGGAAAGAAAATAGGTGGCTGGGTCAAGAACACTTACTTTTTTCATTATTTTTCCTTTTGTGTCTTTTCAATTTTGTGTATATATTATCCATTAAAAAAAAATATATGGACGTTAATTGAAAACACACACACACACACACACACACACACACACACACACACAGAGTGAACAGAGGAGATGGAACAAAAGGAAAGAAGAAGACCAGGAATAAGATGTGGAAGCACAATGGGTCCTAAATTCAGACTAAAAGGCAAAGGCAACTCAAATTTTAGAGGCAAAGCTCCCTGCTCTCTAGTGTTTGGGGCTGGGCTTATGTTCATCCATTTATTCACTGAACATTCATGAGTATTTTTCATGGGCCAAGCTGGGTGTTAGATGTCTAGACAGAGGCGTCAGGCCTGTCCTTGAGGAGTTCACATATTGTTGGTGGAGAGAGAGAAGTCATCAGACTATGGTCATGTTGAGTCATGGTGATAACTCCTGTAGAGGAAGTATGGAAGCACAGAGGAGAGACAGTCAAGCTGGCCTGCAGGAAAAACTTCCCTGCAACAGGGATGCTGGCCTCTGCCCCCACTCCCAGCTCCTCTGTCATCACTACATTCTTCTCTCATCCTCTTCCTCTTGGCAAAGGGATCTGAGTGTCTTCCCAATGCTATTGTCCCTGCAGAGCAGCTGCGTGAGCCCCAAGTCACCATGAAGTCTGCAAAGGTGTCTGAGAACTCCTCCTGTAACATCACCCTGAGGTGCTCTGTGAAGGGTGCAGAGAAAGATGTTCTGTACAGCTGGACCCCAAGGGACCCCCATGCTTCTGAGTCCAATGACAGCTCCATTCTCACCATCTTCCGAATGCCCTGTCACCCAAACCCGCCATATACCTGCACAGTGCGAAACCCAGTCAGCGAGAGCAGCTCCCGCCCTGTCCGCGCCCGGCAGTTCTGTGCAGGTAACTGGCTCCAGTTGGGCCCCTAGGGGATTACAGAAACTGGCAGTTGTGGAGTCCAAACCCCAGGGTTCTGGTAGGACAAAGAGTGGGTGGGGAAGCAAGAGGACAAACCCAAAGACCACCTTTCCTTCACCCTCAGGGGCCTGAGAGAGGCTGGCAGGGCTTAGGAATGCCCAGAGCACTGTGAAACTCTAAAGGTGGAGCAAAGGAGGAGAAGAAAGTATTCATGAAGGGGTCCCGATTGATCTTAGCTTGCCTGGAGGTGTCCCCTGCGGTCCCTTCAGGAGAGCAGAAAGGACAGGACAGTCCAGATATGCAGTGGGCAGAGCCAGGTGGAATAGGTGGTCCTGGGGAAGCAGCAGGGACCCCTCCTCAGGGGAAGAGGCTGGAGGAAGGGGAGGAGGGGCTCCAGTCCCCTTCAGGTTTGCTGAGGGCCGAGGGAGGAAGGGACAGTGACTGAAGTTGCAATGTCTCATCTCTGACTGCAGGTCCAGGAGCCTCCCGAAGAGGAGCAATGGGGGAAACAGTGCTGGGGATCCTGGGAGAACCCATCACTTTGCCACTGGCACTCCTGGCCAGTCAGGACATAGACAATGTTGTCTGGATGTTTAACGCGTCTATTATCAGCAAAGGGCAGGAAGAAGCAGCAACAGCAGATCCGCTCATTAAATCCAGGGATCCTTTCAAGAACAGGGTGTGGGTCTCTGGCCAGGACCACTCCCTGAAGATAGACCCACTGAAGATGGAGGATGCTGGCCCCTACCATGCCTACGTGTGCTCAAAGGCCTCCAGAGTCACCAGCACGACACATGTCACCTTGCTCATCTACCGTGAGTCTCTGGGCAGAGTGCCTGTCATTAGATTCCTTCCCTGAAAGGTTTCTCCTCTGCTGCCTTCCCACCTCCCTCTTCTCTCAGGCCTCCCTCCTACCGATATGCCTCTAGGACAGCTATCCAGTTCACACCGGTCACACCAGTCACATCAGGAAGAAACCAACACCTGGACAAAACTACCTGCCAATGTTCCCCTTGCTCTAGGCTGCCAGTTAGGCCTCAACCAGCCAACTTTTGGTACTTACCCCTGGCCTCCCGCACTGATTCTCAGAAGGAGCAGGAACTCTCCAACCTGAATTTTTATAGACCATTATCATTTTAAATAAGGGCAGATCTGGCTGGGCTGGAATCAGAGAAGACTGAGGAGAAGCCCTTGGTGTCCAAAGACACTTGTGGCCTCTGAGAGGGTGGGCCACTCAGCTCCCCTGAGTGTGAGAGACAGAACTCACATTCACCTCCTCAGCCCTGGGCCTCACGGGAGCTTGGCTTGACAATTTGCATGATTTAAGTTTACCAGCTCTTCCACCCATACCATTCAGACATGGTCACATACCCCCTGCCTGAGTTTGTTGGTGTCCAGGTACCTGGGAAAAGAGTCACCATCCACGGTCCTGTTAAAATATGTAGCAAGTCAGTCAAGTCCACGTCTATTGCATACAGTGACTCAAATATAAAAGAACCCACAAGAAGGTTAAGTAAAAGTAATAGCAAACTGGGAACAAATAGAGCCGGTCTTATCGTTTCTTTTAAAATCGCCAACATTTATTGAGCAGCTACTCTGTGCCAAGTGCTGGCTCACCTCCCTACATCCCTTATCTCGTGTAAATAAACAAATCAGATGATGGAGCCTCAAATGTAAGCCTTGAAGGGTCTTCAGAACACATAGAAGCTTTGTGCTTATTTGTGTTGATGGTTTTCTTGCTTTTCGCAGCTCTAAGTACACATGTGGAATGAGATGGTTTTGTCTCACCTGAGTATCAAGGCCCACAGAGGTTAGCGGTGTGTCTGAGACTTCGCAGGCAGTGAGGAAGAGGCCAGGTGCGCTCCAAAAGGCCATGACTCCTGGAGGCACTTTTCCGGCTGCGTCAACACAGAGTTTCATGAATACGTCTTCGGCGAGTGGAGACGAGGTGACTGCCCCATGAGCAGGACTGACTGTGCGTCGTCTCTGCCCTTCTCCTCACGCAGGGAGGCTGGCCAAGCCGAAAGTCACCTGGAGCCTCGGGCACGCCAAGGATGGCATCTGCAGGATCAGTCTGACCTGCTCAGTGGAGGACGGTGGAAACAACCTGACGTACACGTGGGCCCCCCTGCCGGAGGGAGCTCTCTTGTCCCAAGGGGGATCGGGCCTCAACATCTCCTGGAGAAGTGGTGAAAATCACCCCAACTTCACGTGCACAGCCAGGAACCCCGTCAGCAGCAGCTCCAGCCAGTTTCTTTCTGGGAACGTCTGTCCAGGTTGCTCTTCATTTCTGTGGGCTCAGGCTGCAGGGCCTTGCATTCCGAGAGGTTCTTTATGAAGTACAGCGAAGGGGTGTGGGTGACAGTCCTTTCAGAATGGTCCATTTCAACAGAAATATCATAGGAGCCACATAAGTAATTCTAATGTTGTCATAGCCACATTAGAAAATGCAAAAAAAGGTAAAATTATTTTAAACAATATATTCTATTTAACCCAATATATCCAAAATATCATCATTTCAATGTGTATTCAAATACAAAAAATTATTCATGAGGCAGTTTACATTTTATTTTGTATTAAGTCTTTGAGAGCCAGTATGTATTTTGTACGTACAGCACATCTCAAATCAGATGCTAAATTTTCACTGGAAGTACTTGATCTGTAGTTAGAGTTTATAAAATTTACAGTTGAAAAAACAGATTTACATACTCAAGTTGTTCCTGGCATCCTTAGTTTTTCAAGAAGAAATTGAGTAGCCATTTTAAAATTTAACTTTAAACTATTTAAAATTAACTAAAATAAGCAATTAAGTTTGTTGGTCACACTAGCCACATTTCAAGGCCCATGCGTGGCTTGTGGCTGCCACACTGGACAGCACAGAGTTAGGGGCTTATGGAGAAAAGATGATGGGAAGTTGAAATTGGAAGGATGTGGAAGCAGGGCTGTGTGAGTGGGAACTGGATAGGAAGCCCTAGTGGCTCTTGCTAAATATTTAATAAATGCCAGGCACTATTCCAGGCCTTTGTGCATTTTTGCACAATCAGTTATCACAACAATCCTACAAAGCAGATATCCTTATTATTCCCCATTATATAGATAAAGAATCTGAGACTCAGAAAGGATGAGGGACCTGCCCAAGGCCACACAGTAAAAGCAGGATTTTAAAAACTAGTTAAAATTAAACCCCATGAGACTGTGTAGGTACCTATTACCCAAGAGCATCACATAGAAGTGGCACTGTTCTCATGGCTGTCGGGGTGGAGGGCTGAGATGCCTGCTCTTACTCCCCCAGCCCCATCCCAGTGGACCACCTGGGACTCTGAAGGTTTAGAATGCTAAGAAATCTTGCTCTATCCTCTTTTTTTCCCTAGAGGGAAGCAGAAAAGGTAAGGTTCTCATGATGCTGGAACATGTTGGTTTTGGCAGACAGATCTAGAGCCCAACTCAGTAGCATTCTGGACTCTGTCTGTTCTGAGCTGGAACTCGCCTCATATCATTTACAGAAAGGGACAGCGTAGTGTGGTGGTTAAGTGTGCTTTAGGATCAGACAGTTAGCATTCAAATCTAAGGTCATATACTTAAAACTCTGTGACACTGGGCAAGCCATAAACCTTTCTACCCAAGGACTGTGTCTGCCTTATGTACTACTATAACCTCTTACCTAAAACAACACTTGCTCAAAAAAATGGTTGTAGAATCGATGATGAAAAGAAATATTTTTTGCAATATCACAGGGTTTTAAGGGGCAGGTAGGATGGCCGACATGTTCTTTCCAGCTTTTGCTCCAATCCCGCTTGTCATTATTTGTATTAATATTGCTTATTTCCTCTTCAAAGGGCCCAAGAGTCACGTGAAGCCGTGGATCGTGCTTTCCCCAGTGGTTTTCCTTCTGTGCTTTGTGATCTCCAGCTGGTGCATTTGGAGGCACAAAAGACAGTGTGGGTTTCTGAGATCAATGGCATCTACCAGCTCTAGGCCATTCCCCTGGGACCTCTGGAGGCTTCTCTGTCCTCACATAACCCCTTGCTACCCTTCTCTCCCAAAACCTCATTTTTTCTCAGGGTGATGGGGAGGGGTGTTAGTCGGGACTCTGTAGTTACAAATAATTGAAACCCAACTCAAAGTAGCCTAGACCGAAAAAAAAGGCAGGGGGGATGTGGGAAGGGGGCAGGGAGAGTGATTTATTATTTTGTGACATGTATAATCAATCCATGAGGAAGGCAGAGATGGAGCTAGCCTAATAGACAAACGTCACCAGAGACTCAAAAATCACCAGAGCTCTCCATCTCTCATCTCTACTTTTTTCTTTGAGCCAGCTTAACTCTCTTACTGCAACCAGCTGCAGGGCAGGGGTGGAGGTGGGGGAGATACCACAACATAGCAGCTAACTGGTAGCTCCAGACTCACACATACTAATAGTTCTGACACCAGAAAGGGAAAAAATATGTTTGCCTCTAACTTCGATTTGAAGAATGTAAGAAATATCTCTGATTGGCCCAGGTTGAAGTCCTGTGTCCACTACTTGGACCGAGCACTGTAACCAAAGGGAAGAGCAATTATGATTGGCAGCTCCCTCTAGAATGTCAGTATGAGGGTGGAAATGGAGTAGTTCCCAAAAAGAACATAATGGCTAGAACACCTAGGACCCCTGCAAGAATTACTGTGAGCAGGGAAACTACTCTGATTAGTAGCTGTGACAGAAGAGTTAGAGCTCTCCCTTCCAGAGGGATGACAGGAAGCTCCAGAGCCTTCACCACAGCTGAGGGTGACCCTAGACTCTGTGTCCCCCTTCCTGTGGGCCTGTGCTCACATCAGGGTTCACCCTCCTCCCTAAAGCCTTTTCCCTGCCTGTGTCCCTGGAACTGTCTCCCCCTCTCCTTTCACTCTCACAGAATCAATGGCACCTCCCCCTCATAGCCCTCTTCATAATCCTTCTCCAACTTGCCTCCTCAGATTCAGCCCCAGCCTTCGGTTCCAGCCCAGCTGAGGCTCCAGCTGTCACACCAGGTAATATCGCCAGTGACAGGCTATGGGGTCCCTGGTCCATGTGAAAGCTCCAAAGCCTGGCTACTCAAAGCATGGCCTACCGACCAACAACATGAACACACCCAGGAGCTTGTCAGAAATGCAGAATCTTGGGCACACCCCCAGAATACTGAATCCAAGTCTGCATTTAAACAAGATCCACAGGTGATTCATATGCCCGTTAAAGTTTGAGAAGCAATGTGCTAAATGAAGGTCGTTTGGGAACAAAAGCCACAACCAAGATGGACCCTTAGAGATGGTCACCAGACCTAGGAGAGACAATCTGTTTTCCAGGGTCTCTAGGGTTCCTTGGGCATTGACTGTCCCCATGTGAATGTGGCCTACAATGAGGACGGAGATATATTCTCCATTCTGAGAATTGAAAAACAAAGGCTAGTTGCAATTGCAAATCTATAGCAGAAGCAAAAGTAAAAACTAATTAAAATTAAACCCCATGAGACTGTGTAGATGCCTATTACCCAAGAGCATCACATAAAAGTGGCACTGTTCTGATGGCTGTCGGCGCGGAGAGCTGAGATGCCTGCTCTTACTCCCCCAGCCCCATCCCAGTGGACCACCTTGAACTCTGGAGGTCTAGAATGCTAAGAAATCCCCAAATTCTGCCTCCTCCAACCAAACCCTCCTTTAAAAATCAACTTTATGTCACATCTCATGGAGGGGACCCTCTATGGAGATGGAATCAGAGTTAGGGTCAGGGGCTCAAGTCACCTGACAATACAGATTTTTCTGGTGGGCAAGTATAACCAAGAGAAAGAAGGCAAGGAAGAGAATGAGGCTGGATTATGGGCCTTCCCCTGGGGCCCGTCCTCACCACTGGCAAGACAGAACCCATGTCTCCCCCAGCCTGAGCCCTCCTTCCCTGGGCCCTGGACAGAGGAGGAGGAGTAAAGAGGCGTTGGGGACACCTTCATCCTCCCTGTCCCTCCTACCTCCCCAGCACCTCTTCTCCACCCCCAAGGCCTGCTTCCTTATCTCTAGATCCACTGCCACTGCCTTAGCTCATGCTGTCACCAATTTGTTGTTTAATTGAATCTTTTTTTTATTGAAAAGTCATGTATTCACATGATATACAGTTCAAAGTAACTCTCCTTCCAAATTCCAATCTCTAGGTTCCAAGTCCCCTACCCCCCACTCCCAGAGACAACCATTGCTAAGATTTATATACATCTAAATCGTTTCAGAGACTTTTAATGCATTTACAGGCCTCATACATATTTTCAGATGTGGAAGGATGATCTTCTTATTTCACATATGGGAGCAATCTATATCACTTTTCTGAACCTTGCTTTTTTAGCTTAACAGTATATCTCAGCAATATTAGTATATGTGGATTAAAACTGACTCCCATTTATTCCATTCTGCGGATTTATTTAATTTATTTATTTGACCAGTCCTTCTCACTCCTTGTTACTTCTTCCCTAAAATATTAAAATAGTTTCCTAACTGGCCATTCCCTCTCAAGTTTCTCCTTTCTATCCTTTCTGCTCACCAATCTGCAAAGTTCAACTCTGAATTCTCTAAAACCCTCAATGGTACCCTATGGCCTTTGTCTGTTGTTCAAAAGCCAATATAACCTCGTGGTCGGTTGTGTGGGTTCTCAGGTAGGACAATCCTGTGTTCGAATCCCAGCTCCTCTCCTTATTAGTGGTACGATCTTGGGCAGTTCAGTCTCTAAGCCTTAGTTTCCTTACCTTGCAAAATGAGGGTACCTACCTCTCAGAGTTGCTGTGAGGACCAAGTGGAGTAATGCCCACAGTGCCCACTCAATAATAGGTGGTGATTACTATTCCTGCTCAGTATTGCGCCAGACTCCCTTTATCTACTTTTTCCCTACACAAACCTGGGAGGGGCAGTACTGAGTAGTGGTTAAGAACATCAGGGACCAGGTTGCCTGCAAATCCTGGCCCCTGGCCCTACCACTTACTTGGGCAAATACTTAACCTTTATGTGCTCCAGTTTCATCTGCAAAAAATGAATAAGGATAGTTACCGTCTATGCTTCACGGGGTTTTATGCAGATTTTTCTTTTCTTTTAGAGACAGGGTCTTGCTCTGTTGCACAGAGTGCAGTGGTGTGATTATAGCTCACTGTATGCTTGAATTCCTGGCCTCAAGTGATCTTCCCACTTCAGCCTCTCAAGTAGCTAGAACTACAGACACACACCACCACTCTCAGCTAATTTTTTTTTATTTTTTGTAGAGGCAAGGTCTTGCTGTGTTGCCCAGGCTGGTCTCAAACTCCCAGCCTCAAGCTATCCTTCCACCTGGCCTCCCAAAGTGCTAGGATTACAGAATTTTACGCAGATTAAGTAAGTGTATTCATGAAAAGCAATTAGAACAGTGCCTGATACATAACAGGTATTTAGCAGATATGAGCCGTTTTTGTTCTACACTCAGGTCAAATGGGCTAAGTGATACTCCCAAAGGCAGGGCTGACAGCCACCCAGTGTGACACACCAATGCCCACAGCAGGTGCCCATTAGAATGCCCCAGCTATTGCAGTAGTTAGATGTTTTCAATATCTTCCTTTCCTAAAAGGGAGGACACTCCAAGTTCACACTTGCCTTTAATCATGCCGCTTCCTCCACCAAAAATGCCCTTTCGCTTATCAAAATCCTGCCCCTATTCAAGCAAGGCCCACCTTCAATTCTGCCACCTTCACTTCTTCCCTGCTTTCCTAATCAGGGGCCATCTCCTCTCGCCCCTGTACTTTCCCTATGACACTTGTCAATGCAGCCTTATATTAACCGATTTATGTACGGATCCGACAGCCCCCACTGGACAGTAACCCTCCTCCGTGGCCAGGTCTAGTTTTCCTTTGTGTCTCCCCAGAGGACCCGTTATGGTGCTTGGCATGGTCTATGCCCTGGGGCCAGTGCTGCTCACTGAGGGTCGCTGAGTCTGTCACGTGTCATACTTGACCAATGTTTATCAAATAAATGAACAAATGAGTTCTCGAAAGGAAGGAGGAAGGGAGAGTGAAATGGAAGCCCCTGAGGGAAGACATAAAAAAATATCTCCTTCAGTTCTTGAGGCCTCACCTGAGGTAGGAGTCAGAGCAGGTTGGGGCCTTGAAGCCAAACGAGAGAGAGGCGGGGTTGGCACTTTTATCAGCCCTGCACCATGTGTTCCAGAGCCCACGGCTGGCCACACGGTATACTCCATGCTCTCCCATGGGTATGAGAAGCTGGGCCCTCCCCATAAGCCTGCCAGGCCACAGCCTAGGCCCACCTCAGACAGCAGCTCTGACAGCAACATCACAACTGAGGAGGATGAGGAGAGGCCCGAGACGCACAAACCTGTCAATGGAGGAGACGAGCTGAGTGACCTGGTCACTCAGGAGGGCACTGGACATGACTCAGCCTCCGAGAGCCAAGCAGAGTATGACCTCACTGCTCCAGATGACACTACAGCTGAGTCTGTGGTCGAAGGGGGCACCGTGTATATGCAAGTGTTCTTCAATTCACAGGTGAGCCTTTCTGATCAATACACCGTCCTCTGCCTCCCACTTTTAAGACCATCCGATATCCTGATTGATTAGTTCCTCCAAACAGGGGGCCAGAGGGTGGGGACAAGACCAAGGGCACATGGGCAGGGACCCATGGCTCTATTCATGTTTTCCAACCCTTGGGGTCCTGTGGAATGGAGGAACTTGTCCCTCAGCTCCTGTTCTTGGGCCATGAATAAGGGTGGTGCTGGGGAACCAGAGCCAATGTCCCCACTATACTAAGGCAGCTCCCACCCTGTATGTGAGACCAGACCCTGGGGTGGTGGTGCCCACTCTCCTCCAGGAATGAGGGGAAAATGCTGAAAAGCTCTCATTTGGTCATTAAGGGTAGTCTGATGTTGGTCTCTTACAGAGACAGACCCCGGTTCCACAGAAGAAAGACAGCTCAGCCACAATCTATGACTGTGTACAGAAATCTCAGATGGTGAGGACAATTTTCTTTGTATCCCAAGCCCATAAAATTAGAAACTATTCCCCAGACCATTTTAACTAAAATCCTAGATTCCCATGGCTGAAGAGCTTAAATTCTACCCACTATATACCCCCCAGATGCATTTCATGGTCAATAGATGCTTAAACAGATATTCCTGATTTACATCTGTGTGAACATTTCTAATTGATTTAATAATATCTGAATATTTCTAACTGATTTAATAATATCGTATGTTGATTATTCTTAACATTGACCAGAATGAGATGCTATAAACTCAAACAATGTATGATCTATCTATATTTCTAAATCTTTCTCTAATCCTAGTCCTAATGTACCAAAATGGCAATTTCCCAAACAATTGAAAATTAGCCAACAATTTAATGTCAAGAATTTTTGAAAAATATGCTGTTAACTATAATATATTGATCTTATTATAGTATTAAAAGAACCTTTTAGGGTATCATTTACTTAAATAATAATAATGGTAATAATGGCACCTCTTATGTAAAGTTTTACAGTTTACAAACATTGACAAACATATTTTCCTCTGATCCTTGAAACATCTCTAGAAATGTGTTGTCATCCACATTTTATAGCTGAGGAAGCTGAAATTCAGAGAAGTTAATTTTGCCTAAGGTCACACAGATAGTAGTTGGAAGCTCCAGTATTAAGAACCACAAATAATTTTAAAATAATCCCAAATTATCCTAAACAATTAACCTTGATCTGAATCTGGCTGTCCACTCCATTTTCTCTATCCTGAAAACATTGGGTTCATTCACACTCTTGCATTCAAATCTCCATTCCAAATTCCCTCCCTTTTCTGAACACATTTAAAAAAGATTCTTTTTTAAAAACTCCAAAGGTTTTTCAATTGTGCTACTTCTCTGTGATTGATGAATCCATCAGTAGATATTTGTCGAGTACCTTTTTTTTCCCAGAGCTAGGTTGAGTACTGTGGGGATTCAGATATGTTTAGGCACAATCCCTTACCTTGAGGACTTATCTACGTTTTGGTGGAGGAAAGGTGGAACTGATTTGATCACCTGGAAGGGGAGAGAAAACACTACAGTTGACCCTTGAACAATGCAAGGGGTTGGGGCACTGACCTTCCATGCAGTAAAAACTTGCATATAACTTTAACTCCCCCCAAATTTTACTGCTAATAGCCTACTGTTGACCAGAAGCCAGTAACACATATTTTGTACGTTATACATATTATATACTACATTTTTATAACAAAGTAAGCTTAAGAAAAGAAAATTTATTAAGAAGATCATAAGGAAGAGAAAATATAGTTACTATTCATTAAGGGAAAGTTGATCATCATGAAGGTCCTCATCCTCATCTTCACATTGAGTAGGCTGAGGAGGAGGAGAAGGAAGAAGAAAGGTTGGTCTTGCTGTCTCAGGGATGGCAGAGGCGGAAGAGGTAGAGGAGGTTGAAGGGGAGGCAGAAGAGGCAGGCTCACTTGGTGTAACGTTTACTGAAAGAAATCCATGTATAAGTCGACCCACGCAGTTCAAACACGTATTGTTCAAGGGTCAACTGTACTTGACTGCTTAATAAACTATGTGCACCGTTCCCAAGGGTTTTTCAGACATTGGAAGTGGGAGATATCACTGCACTGAGGTAGAGAGGAAAGACTTTATGAAAAAGGAACTGGACCTTAAAATATGGATAGAATTTGCTTGGTAAACATATGTTCAGATGTGCTGTTCAGTTCAGCCACCACCTGCCTCATCCTGACTTCTAGATTGTAGTCTAATGCTCAGCCAGCTAGGGACTTCGCCTTTGGACTTGAGGCCGAATCGGTGCTGTTCACTGCATTCCCAGAGCTCTTTCCACTCTGGCCTGGCCCTTTGTGTTTGGATCAATGCTGGCCATAGACATCAGTCCCTGCTCTGAGTTTCAGAATGATCATGAATTGCCACATGTCTGGTCAGTCCTGCAAGGTGGCCACAATACCCTGGGGACTTAAGATCCCTAAAACCACCCTCACCTGCAGTGGAAGTGGAAATCAATGCATTTCCTTCAGCCAGGCTCTTGATGGAATTTCTCCCTTGTCTTCAGAATTTTCAGGACCAGGAATTCTGGTTCTGGATCTCTGAAGGCCATTATCGCCCAGTTGACCTGGAAGTTCTCACATCTACTTTAGTTATTATTTTCTGACACACATCTCTGCACAAAGAATGTTCATGCTATCCCCAGGCTGTTGCTGGTACCTCACTCCGCCTCCTCTCTTTATCAGCTCAGATCTCATCTGCTGTTTAGAGCCCTCCCTGAACCCTCTCAGACAGGGCATACTAAGAACCCTTGGAACATGAATGTCTAATGGTCTGGACCATGACTTTGTAACTTAACCTCCACCACCTAAATTATCTTCGCTTAAATGTCTGTCTTGTTTCTCTAACTAGAGCAGAGGTTGGGATCATTCAACAGTAGCTTCTTGGGGGCAAGGCCTTTTATTGCCATCTTTGTATCCCTTGGATTTGCTGCACTAAAACTGTCTTGTATTGTCCTTACAGAGAATCTCTATTAGGAGATTCGCCATAAATGCTTGTTATCAGCTTGGTTGATTGCTCAATCCCTAGGCCAGTCCATATGATCGTCCTTCCGTAGGGTGGACCAGTCATGACCTGGCCTTGCCGGCCTTTCTCCCACCAGCACAAGGCTGAGGAAACCGGAGTCTTCCAAGGCTTTATTAACCATATTCTTGTGTGTTCTTTTGGCTCATAGGTAGTGCCACCACCACAACAGAATAATCTCGAGTCTCCTGAAATCCCTACCTATGAAAATTTAACCTGAAAGGAAAAGCAGCTGCTGCCTCTCCTGGTTAAGGGGTGCAGAGGCAGCTGGACCATGTATGGCCTGGGGCTCTGCAGACAGAACCACTTCAGAATTTCCTTCAGTACTTCAGAGATGCCTGGATTGGACCTCTCCTCTTTCTTCTCACACTCGTGGCCTCCCAAGCCCATTAACAGTTGAGACATAGGCTCCGGAGCCTATGGGCTTAGTTGCCTTTGCTCTATTTATCTCCTTGTACGCTCTTAACATTTCCTCCTCAAACTTCTGCCAAGGCTGGTCAGATGTTGGAGAGGACCTGTACTGATCATCCTTTACGGCTTCTTCTAAGCAGCTGCTAAAATGAATCAGACATTCTCACACATGGACACAAAGATCTATGTAAAATGAGGTTCACTGTAGTATTATTTAAAATAAAAGCCAGGAAATACCTAAATGTTAAATACATGATAGTATACCCAGGCAGTGGCAAACCTGCCACTTGCAAAGAAAGCAAGGACTAATATGTGCTAATATGAAATAAGCTCTAAGATACATTGTGAGGTGGGAAGAACAAAGTCCAAGACAGTGTGTATTACATGCTACCAGTTGGATTAGAAAAAATGTGTATCTATGTGTTTATATAGGCATAGAAAAGTTCTGGAGGTAAATATAAAAAACATTAGTTGCTGCCTCTAGGAGGGAACTGAGAATCTCAAGTTGAGAAGTAGACATTTTTTACTGCATAATTTTTTGTACTGCTGGACTTTTTGAAACTATATGTGTGTATTACTCTTTTGATATTTCCTAAAAGCGCTTAAAATGCCTGTTTTGTATTTACCCAAAAGAACTTCTCTCCTTATTGTCCATTCTGGATACAGAACAGCCACAGTAACTCTCCTTAAAATGTGGCCACAGGCCGGGCGCGGTGGCTCACGTCTGTAATCCTAGCACTCTGGGAGGCCGAGGCGGGCGGATTGTTTGAGCTCAGGAGTTCGAGGCCAGCCTGAGCAAGAGCAAGACCCTGTCTCTACTAAAAATAGAAAGAAATTAATCAGACAACTAAAAATATAT